TTAGGTAATGGAATGCAACTCTCTCTTTGTGTAGCATCATGTTTGGTGTTAACAAAGATCGCATAATGAATCTGCTCCTATTATATACCAGGTGATGGTATGTAATATATACAGATGATGGTGCTTTATTTAAGCAAAAATGTCCAGTTCCTGATCTAAAGGCATAYGTATATAATCCTGTTTAAAGAATAAGAATACTCCTCAAAGCACTGAGTGACTAGTTTTCTGTCCTTTATAATTAACTGCAGCATGTTTTGTTTAGACTGTTTGCTCTAAACCTACAGCACCAGATTTTTTAACTTCTGGTCATAAAGCCAGACCACGTGACCTAGGCTATACTCTATAAATAATGACCAAAGCATTGATATCACTGTTGCTCTGTGTGTCTGGAATAAATTTCATTTCTAACACAAGGCAGACACTTCAGATATTTTGAAGATATTTTCTTTCTCCCTGCAAGCAATTTATCAGCATTCTTCCCAGGGAATTAATAGACTCAAGGGGATTGCAGATGTCTTTGAACAGTCATGCTGTTTTTCCACTGAGCTATTCTGCTCATGGTTAGAGACTTATCATGACAACCTGCTATCCAGACATTGACCGTCTGGCACGTCAGACAGCCCCCAGACTTATATGGTCCTCACAATTTTCCATGTAGTCTACCATGATGAAGTAGCATGAGAGGAGGTGTTTGAAAATTTGCTCTAAGTCATTCTAATTGAGTGTACGAAGACTTACCTTCCTACACCATCAGTTGTTCTCTCGTTTTGTCATGGCATCAGCCAAATTTCCTTTGGAAGAACAGTTTAACATGGGGAGCAATCTTTTGAATATGTCTAACCTTAAATCCACCAGCCTGTATTTTTGTTTTTGCTTTTCATTTTCACCTAGAAAAAAAAATTCTTCTCATCAAAATAAGTGAAACATAGAATCTTGACTAAGTTCTAGTGTAAGAACATATCAGAACAGGAACTGTATTTTCATCTGATATTGAGGTCTAAAGTCTGTAGCTGGAAGTGAGTGTTGTACCATTAACTTCGGAGGACAGAAAGAGCTTTGAAAGTGACTGTGAGTACTTACCCTTTTAAGAAGCCTAAGTGTCCTTGAGGAGCAAGGCACGCTTTAATATTGCCTAATTTAGATGCCTACTTTTGTCATCAAAACATCTGAGTGTGTCAGTGTTACCAGGATGAGTCAGAATACTTGCATTCCCTATCCAGTCAATAGAGAGATGAGCAGTTGCTTCTGAAGTGTTACTTGCATGTAATGAGTGGGAAGCTGAATAGAGGCAGCCCTAAGAAATGCTAATTGCAGGACATTGAATTCCCTCTTATAAGAAGTCCAGATGTCAGTAATCCACAGTACTGTGAGGGTGACAGAGCACTGGAACAAATTATCCAGAGAGGTTGAGGAGTCTCCTTCCTTGGAGATATTTGAAAGCTGTCTGAACAGCACCCTAGGCAATGTGCTCTAAGTAACCCTGATTCAACAGGGGGCTTATACTAGAATATCTCCAATGGTCCCTACTAACCTCAGCCATTTGGTGAACAGAAGGTGAATTTTCTTAAAGGTAGATAGTTTTTTTGTGTGAGATAGGCAAGAGCTTATTGACTATTCCAGCACCATATCAGACTGACAGTGACAGCAACTGGATCATATAAGATGATGACTGCATGACTATATGCTCCTGAGCACTGCAAACTCAGGTTTCCATTGTTTTTTCCACTTGCAAGAAGCAAAGATTTAACACAGCATATCACCATTCTTATGATAAAAATTAATTCCTGTAAACTTAAGAATTCCGTAGACTTTTAACTACTATCAGAGAGAAATATTGAGCTACATGGTCTTTCAACCTCACACAGTGTGGTGGTGCTTCTGATCTGTAGCTAGAAAGTAGCTAGGGTGAAAAAAAGCAAAACCAAAGATGGAGATGTAACCTAATTTGCATTTTTCAGTACTTCAAAATTCTTCAGAAAATTGTTTCTTACAAATTGCAGTTGAATTAGCTGAAGGCATTTTGTTAGTTCTCAGAATATTGTATTAAAATACAAATAGCAGTGTTTTGTAGTTTTAGATTTGCCAAAAGTAAATCAGTTACGGTTGTGTATAGCATATGATTCTGATTAATATCARAACTTCAAATTGCATCTAAGAAAGAACAGTTTTAGAGGACTTAATGCACAGTCTCTCTGATCATTTCTCTGAGTCTTAAGTTCTCTTTAAAAATTAATATTCAGCTTCTCTGTATCCCTGTCTAGGGAGATAGTAGATTGTATAGACTGCAGTAATTGAAACCAGTGCAGATTTCTTGAGTATGACTAACCATTACCTTTTCTTTCCTGAAAATTCACTGACTCATAGCCAAAATTTTATTAGTTTTAATATGAAAACATCCACACCTATCATTTCTSCCCTGAGAGCCTTCCAGCCTTCCTAGGCTGCTGCAGAAATGGAATCTGATTTCTTTTTCTTTGGCTAGAATTGAGGATGTAAATTCCTCTGGCTAATTGATTTTTGGATAATCTACAAAATAGCAAGGGTCAGATTCTTGGCCTTGTAAAGTTGCTTTACATTGGCTTTGGATTTGTGCCTCAGCTCCCATCCTGGGGAATTCCTGGAGGAGACTGGTGCAAGGTCAGGGTAGTTCTGATTTTGGAGAGCCTCACTTTCTCCATTGCCACTGCAGGTGGCAGAGAAATGACTTGAGTAGGGGKTTGAACTATCCCTCAGCAGCCCAGTTTTGCCCAGCTAAAAACCTTTTTCTCAGTTGATTAAATACAAATATAAAAGGCTTGGTACATTTTCAATGAGGCAGGCGGGATATATTCTCCCCTGTGAAAAAGCTTTGAAAATCTTGCTAATTTTGTGCAATCTGAGGCATTTTAAGACAAAAACAATCCTTAGCAGTGGAGATGAGCATTGCTGTAGCCAAAGAAATCACAGGCACACACATAAACATGCATACTAATTGTGTGTGTGTGTGTGCATGTTCCTGCATACCCAATGACCACTAGACTGTCCTTTCCATCCTTAACAACTACAGGAAACCAAATGGCCCAGCCACAGTCACCTTGTCTAACACTGAAGCTAAAGTACCACAATGTCTGGTGTTTTCCTTCAAAAACCTTGACATTCTACAGATCAAAACTCTAAGGTTTATCTTGGATCATCTTTGTGAGATGTGACATGGGAATCGTTCAGCTGTGCCTAGGAGGTTGAGGAAGGACAGAAGAAGAGATTTAACTGAGTCCCACATGAGTCAGTAATTCATCTGCCTTCCCTGTATGATGCTTTCACTTCAGCACAGAGTTACGTTTGCCTGGATCTACAAGTAAATAGAACTATCTCCAAAACAAGCATACTGCCCTTTCAATCCAACAGGCTAATCCAGAAATTGCTTGTTCTGATAATCATTGCCCCAGGGAACCTCATGGTAAGTGGAAGGTTTTTCCTCATTACATGAAGGTGACCTTATTAAAGAAAGGTGGGCAGTCAAGGAGATCTCAATTTTGTGCAACCAGAAAATAAACCTTTTTTTGTTCTATGCTGGATTCCCAGACCCTGCACACACCCAGGAGGAGACACCCTGCACACAAGAAGGAGATGGTGTCCCCAAAAAGAGAAATATTTGGGGGATCTTCTCACTATAACCATCAAAAAGAGCAGGTTTATGGGAGGAGGGTAGAGCCAAGGTGTTAAGGAGCCATTAAGGCATCCTCAGAGCAGGCGTTAGACTCCTGTCCACATTATTCTTTCTCAGCTCATGTCAGCTTGGCACAGCCTGGTTGACTGGTGGATTCTCAGCAGCCTCAAAGCGCTCAGGATCTTTTGGAGACAGCGAGGCTCAAAGCTAGAGACTGGAATGAAAACAGAACGACCTTCACGTAAACATTGCATGGTCTGCTTCAAAGTCAAATCTGCTTTGTGAACCAAGCTATTTTTAAATGAGTAACATGCTCTCTCACCCATTAAAAGAAAAAAAAAAAATCATTTCAGTCCTTAGGCAAAAGCCAGAAAGAGCATTTTCCTCAGCTGATGCAAAATGTATCAGGTGCCTAGTGTGGGATGAATGTCACACATGGGCACTCAGCACGTGCATGCCCTCTCCAGTCCCTGCAAACTTAGGCTGATGTGCTCTAGGGGGAGCCACATCTGTCCTTGTTCTGTGAAATGGAGGTCATCAGGCGGCCAGGATTTTCAGGAAAGAGGGAGTGGCTGGAGAGCCTTGGGTTCCCGAGCATGGAGCACCTGCAAAATAGCACACAGTCCTCACTTATCCTACCTCTAGATACTCCACAATAAGGGATGCTGAACTGACTGCTGGACTCTCATCCAAGCTCTTTTGAAGAAATGGAAAGGCAGGCAAGTAACATTCATGTTCTGCTATGGAAAAAAAAAAAAAAAAAGGGAGGAGAAAAGAAAAAGTAAATAGCACTTGTGCTTTGCAGCCCATAATAGGCATGGGTTCAGATTGCAATATATGAATCTTGATTTGAAACACTGCGATTTGAAAGGTTTGAATATATTTAGGGATAGATGTTTAAAAAGCCCAGATCCTGGAGAGGGTTCTGACCAAGAGTATTCTGCAATTTTGATAGCTGTAGCTATAAATGTCTCTGCATTAAAAAATAAATAAATAAATAAATAATGAAAAAAAAAATAAAAGGCGTACTAACAATTCTGGCACTCTCTGAAAACTGGGGTAGAAAAAAAAAGTCTCTTGAAAGGCAAAGTTGGGAAATAACTGCCATTTATAAAAGTGATTGCTATATCAGACTGAGAGTTCTTGTATTTTATGCCTTTCTTATCTATTTCAAGTCTAATTTTGCCTAATTACTACCCACAGGCTGGCAGAGATCTTCCCTGCAGCACTCAGCTCTGCTGACTGCAGAGACCCTACCTGGCAGGCTAAGTTAGTGCGTCAGCATTCTAGGTAGAAATGAATGAAAAATCAATCAGGGCAGCTGCAGTGGTAGCATATACAACTCTAACCTACTTTGTGCATGGTTTCCAACATTTCACTGTAGACTTAGGCATCCTTTAAAATGGTAAGTGGATCTTGAATAAAATAGACCTTTCTGAGAAATGTTTTGTCATCTTTACTGCTTAGATAAAGCAAATTTACCACCCTGACTGCTAAGCTAACTTGTAGTCTTTATTAAAATGTCAAAACCTATGCAAAGATTGTTTTAATCTTAGAAATCTGTCATAATCATACTGCCTCATACAGTAAGTATATACATAGGTATAGCTTTAAATCATTTTAACTGTCCTAACAGAGCAGATTTATAGTACCTTTGGAAAAGCAAAAGTATACTTGAACAGTTTCCTGAAGCACCAGAATTGCTTACATATGGTCCTGCAAGGAGTTTGTTTTGTGCTTATTTGTGTCTGCTTTTATTCTTTCATGCTGCATTTCTGCATAGCCAGAGTTAAGTATTGATTCCCAGTTTCCTTTAATGAAAGACCGTGGTTAAAAGGTCTAGTCTAACAAATTTAACTTTTTCAACTGAAGGGGTTAAATAGGTTGTAGATCCCTTAAAAGATCACTAGCTGTAACAAGTGGTGCGGTACAACATTGTAAAGGTTTCCAAAATTTCACAAGGCTCTCCATATCTGATGCCTCCACAGTGAAGAAGATCCCTTTGACTGTAAAGATGAGGAGTCTACTCTTTTTGGTGCTGATTTCTATCTGCTGGGCTGAACCTCACTCTGACAACTCAAGTCTGGAGCATGAAAGAATTATTCACATTCAAGGTAAGGAAATGCAGACAAAATTATGTGCTTAATGGTCCATATTTTTTCATTCTACTGCACTATTTTTTTAATGCTACCACTGGTGACTGAACATTTTGTTTTCTGATTGCACTGCTGTTAATTGTAATAAATGTGAAAACATGCAASTTACATTGTCTAACAGCACTTAGCACAACCCTGCTGAGCTTCTTGAGTAAAAGACAGCATGTCTTAAGATAAAGGAGATGCATGCATCATAAAATAATAAACTGCAATGCACTGAAGTACCTTTAGCTTTGTGTAAATATATTTAAGACCATCATCTATATACCTTCATATCACAGATAAAAAATTGCTGCTTACTATTTAGCTCCAGGACAACTCAGATCATTTAATTTGGGGAATTAAACATGAGGGGGAAAAAAAAGTAGCTTACCCCAAAAGAAATGTGTCTGTCTTCATATCTTTATTCACACTAAGTATTATAGTGTCCTTCTGCATAATCCTGTTTGGTTCATCCTACAGCTTATAGCTGTAGCAGGGTTGGAGTCTGCAGTACAATGCAGCTATTTTTTCAGTCCCAGCTCCAGTCATTGAGGGTCATTCTGTGTAAGAAAAAAATAGAGGATTTATGCAGTAAGGCAAGGCRGAATGAACAGAAATTTTCCTGCCTTAAGTTATATATTTACTGAGCCTGGTTAAAATTAATACTGCAAAATTAAGCAGCATAGCATTATTTTTCCTCTGTCTCTCTCTAAAGTTTTATTCCTTTCTCTTAACAGCTACAAACTATGTTATTTGAGCTTCCTTATAAACATGAATTACAGAGGCTAGTCCATAGGATACTAAGAGTGCCTGAGCACTTAACAGTCCCAGGAAAGTCACAGAAGTTAAAGGTGCTCTGCCCCTATTTAAACAGACACACTAACTTTCAAGGTCAAATAAAAAAATGAGAGAGAGCTGGTTTCATTCTAAGGAAACTCACAGTGTGAAGGTCAAACAAATCAAAATATCAAAATTCATACATCAAAATGAAGATACATCACTTCTGTGAGATAATGAATATTCATTCCCCAGAGTAAATTGCAAAGCTGACACCTGCATCTAATGAATGTATAGGTTGTCTTTTTCAGTATAAGGCCTTTTCTTAACTCTGGATTTTTGTTTCTATTTTGAAAAAGGAAATTCTTAGTGCATATAATTAAACCAAATCAAAATTCATTATCTTTAATCTGTATATCTCAAATTTGCCTAATCAGCAGTTTCTTTTCAAATTATGTAGTTCACTTATCATTAGTTATTCAGCATGTGTGCAGCACAGCCTTCAAGTAACTATACTGCTATATAGTTAAAAAATGATAAAAGTTTCAAGGTGGGTCATTCTTTCTATCCATAAAAACCTCAACTCTGAACCTCAAGAGTGTATCCCTTTAAAGAAGGCTGGATAGTGCTTAAAATTGACCTCTACCATGAGCTTCGAATATACCTGATTCTGGCTCTGAAGCACACAGACTATAAATCAAAAAGAATGAAATGGCTCAGAAATTGGCACTTTTTATTATTAATTTTGGAATCTTTGTACTGTGGGATTACATCAGGCTTGGGATTGCATTCTTCCCAGTGCTGCATAAACACAGAAATTCTTTACACCTGGAAAAGAACTGGAAACCAGGGAAGTCTGTGAAACACATGTGTTACACACAACCATACAAGAAATATTTTACATTACATTAAGGAAGGTAGTTCTCTCCCTCAAGTGCTGTAAACTTGGGAATACTTGGAAGGACAAAAAGTGAATAGAACTGTAGTGTAATTAAGTACAGGGAACTGAAAGGGATCTTCCAAGGCAATGGATTCAGCTGTCTATGGAATGTAATAGAATACTTTCTTTTTTTGTACGTATATCCAAACTGGGTTTCAAATCCCATTACTGAAAGGCAGTTCTAGCCGCTATTCTTCTGATTTAAGAAACATTTCTAGTTCTGTAGATATATTTGCGGCCGATATATGACCTAGTGCTTTTTCTATTATTATTCTTTGGCTTCAAGCAATTCCTTTTCTCTTTAGGTATTTACTTTAAAATAGTAATAAGGCAACATCCTATCTCCTCATAGTTCTCATTTCAAAATCTTCTCTAACAGTACCACCTCCAACTGCCTCATGATTTTAGCAGTTCATCTATACACTTGTCCTTGTGTAAGTTTGTACTTCTTGAACATGAACAGTCCAAATTGCAGTCGAGATGAGATCTTAGCCTGGCATTTAAATTTCTGCCTTTCAAAGATTTAATGACATATATTAAGCAATACATTGCTTAATAGACCCTGGGATCAGATCTGCCCTCTCCCTAGCCACTCTGCAGTGGTGATGGATAATCTACATTGACAGACAACATTTAGCAGTCATTCTTCTCTGCTATCACTTGCATTTAACAAGTTAGAATCAGAGCAGAAATTCTTCATACTAGATCTTGCATTCTGTACTAGGTGATATCATACTTTTTCACTCAGCTTCTCTCTCCAAATATGCTAAATATATACKCTTTTCTCATCAATGATGCTTGATGACATGAAAAAATTTAATAATTCAGTATTCCCATTTATTTTTAAGGGTAAGTTAATGGAAATATTAAAGCATATCAGTCTCAACACTGATATCAAAGAGAGTCTGCTGGCCTTTTTCTAGGCCAATCACTGACATTTTTCTGACCTTTTTCAGATCAAGCAATTGCAATCTTCCATATAACTAGTCCTTACCCACTTAAACAAGCAACATCCTATCAATTTTCCCATGTTTCCCATATCAGTTGTTTCCCTGAGCTTCAAGAATACCAGTACCTCACATTTTCCTGTACTATTATCCTTCTTTTTTTTTTTCCATATAGATGCTATCCATTAGTCTGACATACTTTTGTAAACATGTATGGTATTGATCCCACTCTCTAGTGACCTACTATAGCTATTTCTCTCCTTCAACAATTTTCCTTCAAAAGCTGTTCTGAAGTCTTGTTTGCTGTTGAGATCAGACTAATGAGTTTGTTAACTTTCCTTATATATACATTATTTTACTTTTGTCAAGAAACTTAAGCACCAATCTTATTAAAAACAGAATGTATAATTTCTGTATAGTGCTTCACCTTAATCTATATAGGGATTCAAGACTTAGAAATGAACCTGTGCCTACTGAAAGGCTTTTCTTACCTCTACAGATCTTTTACAGTCTTTCCTGACTGTAACAGTCTTTCCTGATGCTTTTGATCCTTATCCTATCTTGTCCTTGCCATCTTCACAACCTACTGTAGCACTGATGAACAGTGCAAGCTCTTACTTTTTCTTACTTTTTTTTTTTTTTTAATCCAGCTTTCCTGAAGAGCTGACATCTATTAATACTATATTCTGGCCCTGACTGCTGTTTCAGCATGTCTCCATTGGCAGTTCCGTGTCAGGAGCCAGAAGATCTGATTCCCCAGTTTTGCTGYCCTTCCATTTATATCTGATTCCTGCAGTCTGTCCCAGACTCAACACTTGCTAAATAGAATGAACAGCATTTCATTGATTATCTCATTCTCTGGCTATACTGGCAAATCATTCCTTCTATTAAAATAAAACTCTTTTACCTGCCCACTCCTTATTAATTTTATTCAATGTTAGGTCTCTCTAGAAAAAAAAAGAAACTTCAGTTAATAAGGCCCCTTTAGCAATTTCCCCATTGTATTATTCAACATAAGTAGSTGGGCTCAGGGAAGAGTGTTTTCCTCAGTCTTGTCATCTCTGTGAGAAAGAGAGAAAGATTTCTCCTATGTCATTGGTAAAGCAGCTATTTTTAGCAGTACTGTTGTTTGGAACTGTTTAGCTGAATTTTAATTAAGATTTATCAGTATCTCTATTGCCAATTGTACATCAAAGGCTCAAAAATAATACGTGGAGAATATATTTTTTTTCCTGACAAATTGGAGGTGGGAACACAGAACTTTGATGTTTATATTTTCTTTCTCTTGACATAAAAAAAAAAAAAATGAAATACATGTTTGGACCAAATAAGAACAAAAAGCTTTCCTTAGCCATAAAACCAATGCTTGTACAAACACAGGTTTTTAAATTTTTTCCAAGAGCAAATTAAAAACATAGTTAGTTATAAAACAGCTAGAAATTGAGTAGTAGGAGAATTAGGTGGAAAAAAGTGTAATTCATGTGCAATTCTACCTGATGCTCACCCCTTCAGATTCTGTCATTAATACACACACACATGTATGTATATCAATATGCTGCAGTTGCATACATATTATAGCTAGTGGACACTATTGTTATCAGATAATAATTATTACTATTCTTACATTTTTGAATTCTTAGATATATATGGCAGGGTAAGAAAACACACCACTTCTTGTACAGAGATACTGAGAGGATTTTAGAATGAGGATTACACCCAGGTCCCAGATAACTCTAGAAGAAAGCAACAACTCTGTGTTTATTTAAAGTAGGATGACTGATAATGTTATTTAACTAATCTTTTGCTAACTGTGTGGAACATCTAAGGTAATATATGAGTTTTATCTTATAAAGAGATCCATAAAGACTTTCAAAGAGAAAAATAAACCCTGACTCTGATTTTTTTTTCCTAAAATGTACATTTTTTCCATATGCTATAATTCACTCTGGAGCTCTTCCTCTGTAATTAAGATATGGGAATAATCAAGTAATGTGGTAGGATCAGTATATATTCTGGAGAGTTCCAATGAACCAAGTGTCTAAATCTGTTCGCCAAGGATCAAAGTTGACTGCCTGCCCCAACTCCTCCATCCCATGCTGTGTTCCTAGTCTTCCAAAATGGACTTGCCATTACTCTTGAGCACTGAAGCCAGTTAAAAACAAAACAAACCAAAATATAAATGGATAAATAATCATACTGAATGTGTCCAGCAGTAGAATTTAGAACAACACGAATAACCCAGCAGGTGACACTAAACTGAGAGCTCTAAGAGAAAAATCCTATCACTGTCCTTCTTGAAGTGGGAATCACACTAGAGCCAATGCAAGGTATGTACATAGTAATGGTAACTAGAACAGTGCTAATTTCCTAGCGAACAGGCAAGGGAGAAAGGGAAGGCAGGTGGAAAATAAACCAAGCCTGTGGTGCCTTCTGTGCCTTCCTATTTATCGCAGCAAGATACACTCCGCTTCACAGCAAAAAAAAAAAAAAAACCCACATAGCAAAACATTTCCATCCAGTTCCGACCTCAGACAGAGCTAGTAACCAGGCTGTTGCCATCTTAATTCTACACCAGAAGAAACAGCTGGAGGTTGCCCAGCATATTCCATCTTCTGTATCTGAGGCTCTTCTGTGGCCATGTTCATGGGTTTTTTCCTCTACAAAAGACTTGTGAACAGTCTTGTTGCAGTCAACTGTTTAGTGAGGGATTATCTGGTGTTTGCAGATTTTATAGCTGTTCAGCAAACAATTACCTAAAAAATTCTTTGATGGTGCTTTGGAAGAAAGTAGTTCTTGGAAAAAATAAGCATTCTCTTCTTTGAGTGAAATGCAATAACACCTATTCCAACTTTTTTTTTCATCGTGCACTCATCATTTAGATAATCCTGCTCTGTAGATATGAAGATTTTATTCAGAAGCAGTAGCCTGCCAGAAACATGATGAGGGAAGCAGCCATAAAGTCACTATGACAAGCTCTTATAAACACTGTTTACCTGGAATCAGAGCACTGCTTCACAACATATCATTACTTTTTGTGTGAAAGAAAGGGAGATTCATTCCTCATATCTGCATTTTACTGCAGTAAGCCCAATTGCTGGTTCCAAGAGCTAATGTTGTCGGCAGAATGTGCTTCTGAGTGGGGTGACTGCAGTCTCACTCGTCCCAGAGTGCCAAACGAGCAGCCTGGATCGTAGGCAGAAGTGCTGAGATGTGCTCACACCTGGGACATCCCAGGAGTGATTCCAGCGGTCAAGGTGCCAAACTTGAATTGCCCACCTGTTTTATAACTGCTGACAGGACAAGGGTAAAAATACCATTTGATCTATCTTAGCACTTGACACATTTGCACAGCAGCAGACTTTGGTGATAAGGAGCATGATGCATGATTTGCAATTCATTCAATGTTTCTCTTGCAGAACGTGACCAGAATAGTAAAAGCTCTACAAGCAAACTAGGGAGAATAAACATAAACATATATGTAGTTGCTGTCACCTTGGGGAAAGAATGGAGTTTGTTAATGGACTAGTAAGCTAGGAATACAGATCAGAAAGAAAAAAAAAAAAACAGAACTTCTTAAAAGTAGTTGCATGCACATATTTCTCAATAAGTTACACAGTATATTCAACCCTCCCATGTAAAAACAAACAAACAGATGAACAAATCCAGCTTAGAATCAGACTCCGCCAGACGCCGCTCCAGTTCTGAGAGCTTTATTAATGAATAATACTGTGTTTTGTTTTRTTCTTAGCTCTCTGTTCACTTCTGAAAGTAGAAGACCACTCATTTTGCCATGCTCCCAAAAATATGCAAGTAGATGAATATGGCCCTGGCTCTCACTGGCTGATGGATAATAGAGACATTCTTTCTTCTTGCCAGACTCCTGGTTTCTCATTTTTAATCCCAAGTTCTTCCTGTCTGCATGTCTCCTAGCATAGCAGCAAACCATGCAGCATACCTCAGTCTGACATCTGCTTTTCTCCAAAGCCAGAGACTCTTCCATCTTCTGCCAGGTCTGGGARCATCAGCAGTGTTCCTTGTGGTTCCATTGCCTCACTAGAGAGGGGCACATCATCTCTTCTCTGTTCTAAAAAAAAAAAAATCTAAATGGTCTTTAAAAGAAATTGGAGTTGGGGAASGGTGTTATTTCCCACTGAATTGCCAGGGATATAAGGTGATGTCCCAGGAGAATGCAGAACTGTGCTGTTTCCACCCCAGCTGTCCCTTCCCAGTCTCCCACTTGTCTGTTTCTCACATTTATGGAGATATAACCGCAGGTAATGGCAGCTGCAGCRGACAGATCAGGTGAGAAGAGTCAGAGAGAGGCAAACGGCAGCGCCAGGGTGCTAGAGCTAGCCTGGGTGGTGACGGCGCTCCCGGCAGCGCTCCAGGCCTCCCTGGCACCAACGAGCTGTTGTTAGAAAGAGCTAGCGCTAGCAGCCTGAGTCACACTCCCTCCTCCTCCAATATTTTCCCTTAGTATTTATTAGCATGCCTATTTCAGTATTAAAGACACAACATAGTTAAGTTCTGATTCAGATTTCTTGGTAATAACCACCCAAAAGCATAATATTTCCCCTCCCAAGATAGACAGAAGTCTGTGAAACCTCTTTGTCCCCAGAGGAGACAGGGAAAGCTGCAGACAAGCCACCCTGGCTGCACTTTCTTCCTTCTCTGCTTTGTGCAAAACAGCTGCTCTGCCTCCTTACGTAGGCGCTTCCCTCCGGGGATGAAAAGCTGTGCTGCTCTCAGAGCACCCCAGCCCCTGCCCGAGGAAGGCTGATGAAGAAGAGAAACAGTTTTCTGGCACTCCATATGATCTATTGTACAGTGACAGTTTTTCTCTAAGTWGGGAAGTTTCTCTCCTACTAAAATAACTTCTGGCACTTAGTTCATTTTCAAGGAAAATGGCTTTCTGGCTATCTATCCTGTGCAGATAATAGCAATGCTTTTCACTTTTCCTGAGAAAGAACTGCACAGTTTGGAGTACCTTTTATTCTTAAGCCGAAATAYATTTGAATTCAGTGAACTTGGCTTAGAAATTGTGACTCCTGAATAATTTTGTGGGCGACACAGTCATAAAACACTATATAGTCTGAAGCTGCTGCTTTCTTCTTCTGCTTTGTGTAGTCAGCATCAACAGAGACAAGACAGGCATAAACTGCCCACTACAAGGAATAAACTTATTTCTTTAGCCATCAGTCAATAGTAAGAAGCCTAGGAATGTCTGGAGACGTATACAAACTGCACTACAAATCGTAACATCTCCCTCCACTCTCCATAGCTGCAGATACACCGTACCTTTTTGCAGTGCTATGAACCAACAGCTGGTTGGGCCAAATACTGTGTGATGGGATCATTATGGAAAGATTGTTTTCATCTACTTATCTGTCTCTTCRCTGCTTCCCTAACCTAGTCCTTATCTCATCCATCATTCAAACCTCTCTGGATGGTGAATTTTTTGTATGCATTTCTAGTTTTTTAATCCATTAAATGCAGATTCAAATACACCGTAGCTGGCAGAAAGTTGCTTTTAGCCTCCAAGATCTCAGATGATTGACTTCTATAGCAGCAGCCCTCGCTGCTCACTCTCTGTTCAGGAAGTTTTCCTTGACTCCTGTTGAAGTCAGTGGGAGGCAGTTAAGCCTCAAACTTAAAAATCATATATCTATCTAGTTATTGCCATACAGAACATTTACATCTTTTCTTGGTAATCTGTTATGTACCGTGAGGTCAATAGTTCTGCTCTTGTAACTGCAGCACTGGTGATTCATTGCCAGTTTTAGCCAGTGTCCCAAGTGATAGAAGACAGCAGAATCTATGGAAGTGCTGAGCTTGCTAAATCTATTTTGCAAACCATGCTTGGCAGGAGAGGCAAGAGGTGCTAAGAGAAAGAAGCACTCCAGATTTCAGATCCATCAGCTCACTGCCATCATCAAATGTATACTTTCCAAGGTTTTCCCAAGATAACACTGCATAGCAAAAAATCTCCAAAGAACCGAACACCTGTACTACTTTTGACTATCCATCACAAACACAATGACTGGACAGAGTAACATCACTGCCACAGACCCGCTAGAGAGAAAAATGAGCAGAGAAGCTGGGGTAAGGGTAAGGAAAAAAAGGAGTAGGACATTTAAAGACGTGTTCGTACAAAAAGTCAGAGAAAAATCTGAAAGACAAAATAATGAGAGACTTAAAACCTGGGGGAAAAAGAGTCAGAGTGGGGGGGGGGAAATAAGGAGGAGCAGCAGAGGTGGACGGCCCTGTAAGAATCCACAGGAAAATACAGAATATTTGTATGGAGTCTTTTTTTGGATGACCATGTTCACCTGGATGATAGAGAAAACTCTGAGGCAGGGAAGCTGATGTAAGAGGCAAGGGAAGTTACCAAATTCCCTTGACAGGACCTTACATGCAGGTGCGGTATTAACTGCACRTTAATATCATACCTGCATGTAAGGTCCTGTCAAGGCTTCAGAAGTAAAAGATCTGTTAACAAACTATCAGATTATGCAGCCAAGGATGAAAGAAAGGAACAGAAGGGATCAACCCCTATGTGTACCTCACAACTGATCCAGTTAATATAACCATGACTATGGATGATGTAGGATGGCCTCTACCTATTCAGGGGGCAATGCTGGAAACCACTTTGCCCTTTCTCTCTCTCTCCCTGGGAGTTTACACATAGCACTTTCCTACATATAGAGCATGAGAAATTAAACTACATGATGCTGTTTAATCTCTCTCCAGTGTGTGTTACCAGCCTCTGTGTGTAYAATCAAGAAAATAGTTATATATCACTGGTTTACATACTCTACAGCTGCACAGGTACAAAATGATTACAAGGAACTAATCCTGCAGACTTATGGTATAATACAGCTAATGCACTGGTCATATGTCTTTGCTGTAAAAGGCAGAAAGCAGACTAAGCCTTGTTTTTATTTTTCTTCTTAAATCCTAGAAGAAAATGGACCCCGTCTACTTGTGGTAGCAGAACAAACTAAAGTCTTCACACACCGTGGTGGCAATGTCACACTGCCATGTAAATTTTACCATGAACACACATCAACAGCTGGCTCAGGAACCCACAAAATCCGGGTGAAGTGGACCAAACTCACCTCAGATTACCTCAAAGAAGTGGACGTCTTTGTTGCAATGGGACATCACAAAAAGAGCTACGGAAACTACCAGGGCAGAGTGTTTCTAAAGGGGAGCAGTGAGAATGACGCCTCTCTTATAATCACAGATATCATGCTGGAGGATTATGGACGATATAAGTGTGAGGTGATTGAAGGTCTAGAGGATGATACAGCAGTGGTGACTCTGGACTTGGAAGGTAGGTGACACCTCAGTTCTCTTGCATTCAGACATTTGCGGTGTTTACAGATGCCTACATTTCCTAATACCACCAGCACTGTATTATCAGTGACAGCAACAAGGTGAGAAGTGGGATGTATTGTTCTCTGGGGATCTTAGCCTGGCAGCCTGTAGCAGCCAGCATAAATTAGAAAAACATCAGGATTTCCGTAACTTCTTATTCTAGCCTATGGCATATTCAGGCCCCCAATGAGCCCCAGTGAGAGAAGATCCAAAAAAATCATATGTTTTTAATTTCTTCTTATAACTTTACAGAAAGCACTGTGTGTGTTTAATAGTGTATGTGTTTAATAGTAGAYCTAGACAAAATTATATTAAATACTCCCCTAATAGTTATTCCACAGAACTTTGCRACATGTTCTACTATCAAGCAGATACAAATCTTCTCTCAAAAAGGAACAATTTTAAAGCAATTTTCCAAAGACAATGTACCTTTTCTTTCCAGCCTTATAATTTTATATAAAATAAATATCTTTTTCCTGCCATATGTAAGATAATTCCTACACGCAGTCTGTAGTCATTTTCCTCAGCAACATTCTTGTAAACAGTAAACAAACATGAGAAAAAATTAGTGAAATAGCCTTAGAGAGGACCAAATTTCAGCTTTTCTTTATGATTACATAATTCAGATAAACTTTATGAGATTCAATGCATTTCAATAAGTATTTGACCTTTTTTCCAAAGCACTGTATTCAGCAGTGCTTTTAAACTAAGTGCTGCATGAGAATGCTTTGCTTACATTTATATTTACCAGGAAGCGTATGTCTGAGAAAAAAATWWAAAAAAAAATGAAAATCTTGGTTCACACACTGGCATATGGGCAAGGTATATGATTCTTCAGTTTTCACTAACACATTACATACTTCACATTACAGTGTTTACTTAGTTTGAATAATGAATAAGACTAGCCCACTGCTTCTTGAAGCCAAATAGATGACTTCCTTACATTCATTTTTTTTCCTTTCCTTGTAAGAGGTTGCTAAGGTATTATATTTCTGAGGACAGAGAAGTCCTCACAATTTCCTTGTTGGTGGGACTGTCCGTTTAGACTGTTTCACGCTCCTCATGTAATAAACGTAGGCTGTTACTTGAAATTGAAAAGATAAGTAGACCTGTATACATGTCCAATTTTCTTTATCTAAAACTCATTTCTGAGTGGMGAGAGAGATGAGTAGGAGGAAAAGGCATATTACTTCCTTTTCTTCCATTAGTCAAAGGCACTTTGTGCTACAGTCCTGGCTCACTGCGTTTTCACTCTATGGGACTTCTTCACTGYGAGGGTGCCAGAGCCCTGGMACAGGCTGCCCAGGGAGGTTGTGGARTCTCCTTCTCTGGAGRYCTTCCMAACCCRCCTGGATGCCGCCCTGTGCCCYGTGCTCTGGGTGTCCCTGCTGGAGCAGGGGATTGGACTACATGATCTCTAGAGGTCCCTTCCAACCTGTCCTGTCCTGTGGGACAAGCCATTGGCATGAGAGTGATTTCCATTTATCTCTTGTTTACAYGAGTAGAAGTAAGGCTTTGGAGCAAGGCTGCAGCTCTGGGACCCCCATTCGGGTGATGTGTTACAAAGTCAAGAGCCCCAGGGGAATCACCTCACRGGATGATTTCAAAATAGTAAATGTGTGATTTAAGTGTGACTGTATGATATACATGAGAAATAGCAAACATCCTACAACCCGGATCAGGAGCAGGCAACAGCTTTTGCCTGTGTTTGGTCTCAGCATGTCTCTGCTCTTCCTGAACTGTTTTGTGGACAGTGCTGAAGTCCATTCCTGTAATGCTAGTTGGGATATATCTTTGCTCAGTAATCTGGCACACCAGCATAGTCTCCTGTCAGTCTCCTTGCATCCTAAACACTGTTACGTGTGCACTGCATCTGTTATGCTTCAAAAATATTTTCGAGAAATAGCAATATTGTTCGTAGTTGCCTGCTGGGATTTCCTAGTGTTTTATGGCATTATGATATTTCTGCCTATGTGAAAGACTCAGAGTCTGTGTAAAATCTCTGAAAATCCTTGGGGTGTAAAATCACACCCCAAAGTGAGGTATAGGTATTCAGCCAGTGCCACTTAGCATTGTGCCCTTGGAATAAAGTGCATTAGCTCTCTGCTATTAAAAGGGAGCTGAGTCCAGCACAGATGCAGACAACTTCAGGGGAGTCTTTGGGAAAGATGAAAAAACTGACAGCTGTAGTGGCAGAATGTGAATGGCTTGAGACTTTGTATAAATATTTGTGTACATGGCAGAGTAGTTATATCAGTATTTGAAAGGGTCCATAGTAGAAAATAAAAATGAGAAATACATATATTTTACTTACTGCACATACTAGTTATCAGAACACAGTTATGTGTTTTTTGACACTGCCCAGAATTAAGTGCAAAACTCATCATTGGACTTTAGCATGCTAGTTTGCTCAGATAGACACCTACATTTCTTAAGCAGCACATGAACAGAGCAAGATACTTCAACCTTAACATTCCCCAGAGCAATTATACTGAGGACAAATCACCAATTAGTGAGTATAAGAAGAATTTTTTTCTTAAATTCAGAGCTGGAGTGAAAAGACAGAGGGGTGGCGAAGAATTTATGGTTGTAGGTTCGGAAGAACTGGATCACCCCAGGACCTGTGGCCTCAGGAGACACAGTTGAGGTCTCTGTGCTGTCTTCCACATAGCCATGTGGAAGACCAACTGGAGATGTACTTTACAGCTCCTAAAACAGTTTGCCTCTTATCGGGAGGCCTAAATCTCTGGCTGGGAGCAAACACTCACCTCAGCTTCCAGATGGAGTAATTTCCTCCCGGAAGGTGAGGGGATCTCCAATAAAAAAAAAAAAAAAAAAAAAGAGTTAAAAGATATTACACTGTTTGAATCTTACCTCTATGGGTGGCAAGATGCCTAGATGCAATTAGGATGCACATTGACATCCTTGCTTCAGAGATAAAAAGGAGTTGCTTTAGTTGAAAATGTGGCTGGAAAAAAAAAAAAAAAAGGAGATTTACTACATTTTTTTTTAAATGATTTGACTCTGTTGCTATAGCACCAGCCCACTGAATATGAAAGCTGGGATCCGTATCCCAATCATATACAGCATTGCAGTGTTTTGCTAATAAACAGTGTCTTACCTGGATATATGCCACCCTTCCTTACCCTACCTTCCCCAACACTACTGCTCCTTCCCACCTTTCCATCCCCTTAAAAATAAGGAAGCTCATTGGGCAGGAGTCACTGAGAGGAATTATATTTCTTTAAGCAAATACGTTCCAATCCCTAGTCAAGGAAAGTTTATACTTTTTAATTTGGATCTGTTAAACATATGGAACAATGTCAACTTTCCTTTGGTGATTTTGGTTAGAAATGGGAGGGATGTCAAAATATTTGTTTCTGACATTATAGTGATGTTTCCTAAGCACGCTCAAGAAAATCTCATCAGGTAAACATCATGGTAAAATTCAACCTTTCCAAAACTCACATGAGATTACTGAGTGTCTCAGTTTGGAATAAGACAGTTTAGTCTGGCTTAAGGTAAGTATGATGCTGGGTTTAAGTTTCATTTCACTTGCCTTATAAAATGATAATTATTAAAATACGCTTACATTTATAATAGATATATTACATATAATAGATATATGTAATTAAGGGGGGATTTACTCCTTTCTTCTCATGTCCCTGCACTATTTTTTTTTTCATCTCACCTGCAGCTTCCATCTGGGAAAAAAAATCACTGTCTTTGGGCAAAAGAAAYTACACTAGCCCACCTAACACTATACATCTGTTATAAATAACAATGTTAATCTCACAGCAGGAAGAATTTGCATCAGTAGCCTGATGTACCGAGCTGCTGGCCCTGAGGATGTTAATTGGCAGTGAGACAAAATCATTTATACTCAAGAATGCCCCACAGCAGTACAAAACAGCTGATMACTCCAATGTGAGTTCACTGTACAAACAATAAAGCATATTAATATATCAGAGGGAATACCTGACCTCTACCTCAAAAGACCTTTTTTCTTTCTGAACACGGTAGAGATCTGTTCATGTGCTGACAGACATGCTTCTTGGAATCATTATTAAATAGACTATCCCCTAAATTATAATCACTAAATAGGGTAATTTTAGCCTTGACAAAAAAAAAA